TTCGATATCATAGGAATTACACGCTGTCAGTTTTTGTTCTTATATACAGCTTTTTCCCCTGATAAAATTCCCCAAAAATATTTACTTTTAAAACAGCACATACAAGTTACACGAACCCTTGCACAACTACGATTAACTAATAAATTTCGGTTAAAATTTACACTTAATAATAATATATATTATTATGTTATAAAAAAATGAACTAAATGGTCTGTGTAATGTAATAATTAAATAAAATGAGAAATAAATATCACAATAGTTTTATAATTAAAAGAAATTTGTACCATGACAATATTAGAACTAAATAAAATTTGTAGCACAAATCGAAATATCGGTATGATATCAAATGAAAATTGTTCTTTATTTATTTTATTTATTTATTAACTTTTTTTTTTAATATACATTTATATACAATAACATTACAATTAGTTAGCGTCTCATAAAATGGCTACCACTCTAGGCATGGTTGCCTGTCCTGTGTGAAGCAATTTTATGAGGCGCTCTGTTTACAGTATTTAAGGGTGTTATGTAGTGTTTTATATCTATTTTTCCTGTATAAAGACATTTTGAATTGTGATTTTTTCAGAGAGGTAATGATGGCAGCTTCGGTGGGGGGTGAGAATCAGTTATTAATTTATGGTTAAATTATCTTACATACATTTTAACAGCTGTTATTATCATGAGAACATCAGAAATATATAAGGATGATTGAGTATATACTTTTTTACTTCTATTTTGTATGTTTTATATATTTTTATTTCTTTTATATGTTTAGGTAGTACATTAAATAATTTCGGCCCAAAGAAAAGAAAGGAGTTCTGAGTAACAGTTTTTTTAAATAAATCTGTTGTTACATTTAGATTCAGTTTAGAACGTGTTTCTTTTATGTTTTGTTGAGGGCATTTAATTTGTTGGTCAAACATTCTTAGGAGACATTGGTAAATATAACTTGACCTAATATTTAAAAAATTAGTTTCTTGATATAAGTTTTGTGTGGAATAAAGCCTCTCTTTTTTAAAAATTATTTTTAGTATTATATTTTGTGATATTTGCAGTGGATTGAGTGTTGTTTTGAATGTTGCGCCCCAGGCAGTAATGCAATACATAATAATTGATTCAACCAGAGAGTTGTACACTATAATTAAATTTTATTTAATTAATATATCACGCATTTCATAGAATTTGTGCATCAAAATTCGGATTCTTTTTGTTACATATCCAATATGCTCAGACCATCTTAAATTTTGATCTATTATGACTCCAAGGTATTTTAGTGAATTTGTTTTTTGTATAGATTGACAGTTACAATCTTTTTCTTTATTACACTGTGATTTGTGGAATTTAATAATTAAGTTGTTTGGTTGATCTACTACTGTTGGGGAAAACGTAATATATTTAGTTTTATTAACATTAAGTGATAGCTTATTATTATTTAGCCAGTTATGGATTTTTTTCAAGTTAGTTTCCGCTATTTTTTGGGCTTTTTCCCATGTTGTTTTAGTAAATATTAGTGCTGTATCATCGGCGTAACAAACTATATGACCTTTAAAATTGTTAATTTTGGTTATATTATTTATGTATACAAGAAATAGTATTGGTCCTAATATGGTCCCCTGCGGTACTCCAGTTAGAACATTACAATCGGAACTTATTACATTGCCAATTTTAACTCTTTGTATTCTATCAGTCAAGTAGTTTTTCATTAAATCCGAAGCTATACCTCTAATGCCATAATTATTTAATTTTTGTAATAATAAATTGTGATCTACAGTATCGAATGCTTTGGCAAGGTCTAAAAAAACTGCTATACTTTTTAATGAACTGTCCATGGCCTTCACCGCTAAGTTAACAAAATCCATTATAGCATTTTCAGTATTGGAACCTTTTACAAATCCAAATTGTCTATCCGTTATTAACTTATGTTTATTAAAGAAATCTATTAATCGTTTTTTTAGACATTGTTCAAACAATTTAGCAAAGTTATATAACTGATATTGGCCTGCAGTTTTCCGTTTGGTTAGATTTACCTGATTTAAAGATGGGTGTAATATTTGATACTTTCCATTGTTGCGGAATGTCTCCGGTTGAGAAACATTGATTGATGATGTAACATAGAGGATCTAGTATGTAATTATGAATGGATTTTATAGTTTTTGAATTTATCTTATCTGGACCTGGAGCACAGTTATTTTTTAAGTTTGAAATTATCATAATTAGTTCTTTAGGGGTTACTGGCTCGAGAAATATTGATTGTTCGACTACCGTATCATTTAAAAAATTATCAGGTAAGTCAAATTTTGGAATTGCTTTTGACATATTTTTACCAACACTGGCAAAAAATTTGTTAAATTCCTTAGCTTTTTTTGTATTATCATTTAGTGTTGTGCCATTTTTTAATAATATATTAGTATTTTCTATTTTATTTGTATTTTTAGCTCCTCCACCTGTGATATTATTAATTATATTCCAGATTTTTTTTAAATTGGTTCCAGCTTCATTTATTTCAGCTTTGTAATAATCGTTTTTTCTTTGTTCATTAGTTACATCTCTCTGTATTTCCTCTCATAGAAATGCTTTCCTTGGCACTCCATAAATTTAAAAATTAAGAAAAAGTTAATATTAACTAAAAATAATTTTATATGAGTAATTTGGAATCACACACAGTATATCAATTTATAACTAGAACCTTGCCTGTTCTATTGGTCAAAAGAAAATTGATTAGGGCTTGACTTTTTGTTGAAAAAAAGGACAGCGGCAGTTGGCTGATAGAAAGCAAGATCCACGTAAAATTTGTCCACATAATTCTTTGGAAAAAACCACATAGAAATAAATAAAACTACTCCAGTATATTCCAGACGTAAAGTATTCTGTAAAAAGAAATGTTTAACGCAATTTATTACTGGTAATTAATACGAAATTTGTGCTGTAACGGTTGGAACCGTTTTCGTTATTTTGACACAAACATATCTACTCAAATATCATTTGTCGTTTATGCCTTGCGTCAAAAGTTCCCATTTCATTTCGATTCGTATCTATCAACGAACAAGTTGATTTAAATTTTTAAGAGCCAATATTTTTAAAAATTTTTTTTTGTATAAAAATTTGTGCCATTGGTTTTAGAAAATATCAATAAAATGGCATCTGAAAAATCAATATAACACTGGTCCCAAAATTTAGCCCTGAGGAACTCCAGTCCAGACTTCTTATGTATTCGAAACCTTATTTAAATTTGTATTTTTGATTAAATTTGATAGAAATGGAAAGCGATATTTCTCTTTTCATATCAAAAATCTAATTTTGATATAATCTTTAAAAAGTTTGAAATAATGAAGAAACTAACTGAATAATAATATCAATTAAAAATATACTGGCTATATAAAAATTTATATCCACATAAAAATCAATAATTTCCATTTTGATATCTTAAGTCAGCATCGAATTGTCAGTTGTAATCAAAGCAGAATAATTTTTACGAACTACGATATAAAACTACGATTAGCTTCAAATTCCAACTCGAGGCAGTAATAGTTAAAGCCCATTTACATTTATAACGCCGAACTTGAGACAGCTTTCGTGTAACTAACAAGACCACCAGCCATATTGTGTCCACTTGACAATGAGCTCAAATTCAAACTGTTCACAATGTAGCACATTCCGTCGGTTCACAGAACATTATCTTTGATATAATGGTTCATAATCAAGTGGCGCACCAATTTCAGGTAAAGTAATTAAGTTGCCTTATTGCAATGCACAATTAACATTGTTTCTTGCTAGGGTATGCCGTGCAGCCCAATAACTGTCTTGCGGTAGAGGATACATTGACGTAATGATTGGACATGGTTTGAGAGTTGTTTGTGTCGACAATGGGAGCAAACTGGAATGATGTACGGAATGTTTAGTTAGTTGGATTCAAAATCGAATAAGTAAGTAAGCTGTTTTGTTATCTTGCAAATAAATATGTATACAGTAGTTGACGAAACCGAAATGTGAAGCCAAAATTTATTCGTGTGATTTGGAGTTTCCATCTTAATCATCCGTCCCATTCATATTTGACAGATGCTAATACTAAAAAATATTGTCTACTAAATTTTCAAAAATGCCGCAGTATTTGGGCCATTATACTTTTCTGTGCAGGTTTTTGAAACAAAACTAATAAAATTGGAAAACTATAATTGTACAAAAATGTAATTTTTGTGATGAAAACGAACAATTAATCTATTTTCTTTAAGGTTAATGTAAAAACAGCACACTTTTTTCGTATTTAACAGAATTATTTTAGATAAAAATAGATGATACCTGGAAAATAATACACTCTGTTACTGCAAAACTTATTTTAATATATTTAAACACTTAAATATTATAAACTTTCTAACACTTACAAATGAAAGGAACTTATGATATTTATCACAAACTTATGTTACTTTATTAAATTTATTTGTTTTTTCTAAAATTTTGAGATCTGTAAGACAACTATGTTACTTTTGTTGCTTTCACGAAACTCTAATTTAAAAATTGACATAAATTATGCAATTGCTCCATTTTGCTATGGTTACAATTTTAACATGATATATTTACTAACATAAGTTTATTGGTTCCCATTTAGCAGAGCTAATTTAAGTACCAAAAAAACGGAAAAGCATACTAAGATGTCGGGAACTCAAAAAGTAACAGAGTTAGTTGCACAGGAAGTAACATAGTGGTGCTCTTTGCTAATGAAAATACAAAAATCTAATTATAACACGAATAAATAAAATAAAACAGATCTTCTATTCTTTTTAAGGACATTTTTAGCCCAAACTACGGGGAAAGTTATACCTAATAAAAAAACAACTAATTAAACAAAACAAAATTCTCTTCAAAACTTCTTTTGTTAAGAATGACTTTGGCAGATTATATATAGTAAGAAAATATATTTAAAAAATCAGTCTTACTTTTCAAAAACTTCAAGAGGTCTCTCAAATTCATAAAAAACTCTTTTACCCTTATAGCATTTTATAGAGTTAGCATTTTATAGAGTTAGAGACAATTTTAATAAGATTTTCGTATGACTCATATGATACATCATTTGGTACATCGCCTTCGTTATCGACTGAACTTTGAGCAAGTCCAAGGTAAGTATAAAAGCTACTCTTTTCACTGAAAACTTTGACCAGAAGATATTCCCCTTCGGTTATATTGTTAGGATGCATTAAAATGCCTTCTAAACTTGGATCACTTCGGTACGAAGTACCACCTTCTGTGGGGTTCTTTGGGTTGGCTATTTTGCTTAATGGTTGATCTTCAGAATCAGAGTCTGATGAATAAACAAGATTAAATATAGATTTACAAGAGATTGTTTCGTGATCATTAGTTGACCTTTCACCTATTATTCTACTATACTCTGTTTTTAAACTAGGAGAAGCGAATTGAAAAGACGCATTTACACAGGGAAAAGTAACTAGATTTGTTACTTAGAGCGAGTTTCGAAATATAGTCATGTTCAAAATTTATGAAATAATTATCTTTGTCGGCCTTAGTCGGTGAACGGCCAATGAGCGGTTAAGAAACGAATAAATGTCAGAAGTAATTTTTTAATTGGTCCCAGACAACGGTCGCAAATTTCACATTATTGTGATCTGAAATGTGTCTAAAACAAAATGTCACTGTCAAATTAAAGTCAATATGGTTGTTGATTGATGTCAGAAATACTTTTTTCTTGCTTTTGAAATCGACTTTTTGAGAATAACTATGATCTTTTTAAAATGGATATTAAATATTTAAGAAAATTGTTAATGGAATATCCAGATGTAGCCAGGTTAGTATAAAATATAAAGATCTGTTTACATTTTTAAGGATATATTTGTTATAGGTATAAAAAGTAAAAGTTAATCAGTGAATGACAAGTGGATCACACAGTAACTGGTATCTCTTCTATGAGTAATGTGGATATTATGGCTTATTTAGTGTTAACCCATGGTTAATGCGCTAGAGGGCAAATAAAGGCATTCAAAAGTTTACAGGCCTATGAGTCAGAATTTGTTTTGAAAACTGGAACTAACATTTTCATAACACTACATGTCAACATATATTTTTTAAAGTGAACTATTCATACATACCTATGTATTAATTTTAAGTATTTTTAAAATATTTTTTGTTAAAGTAATGTTAACTCATTGTGCCAAATTAAGATTATCCCTAAAGTAGTAGATGGTGTTTTAAATGTTATAACAATTTTGTAAATAGTTTTATTCTATTCTAATAAATAAAATTTGCTTGAATAGTTACATTTTAATCATTTTGGTTAGAAATTCATCAATTTTTAGTTTTAAAAAATCAGTAATAAAATATTTTTTTCTAAAATACTTCGGAATTCGTCTCTTCATGGTAATCTCCCATCTTTTTACCTTCAAAAACCAATAATGCATTTTCTACAAAACCTTCAGAATCAGCATGTAAAATAATAAGGTGTTTTCCCTTTCTTGTAAGGCTTTTCAGGAATTGCTACCTTTAATAGTACTCAGTGTAGAAGGATACATAATTATAGATTTTCAATACAATTGCTTACTGAAGAACTATTATTTACGAAATAAAGTAAAAAACTAAGTAATGGATGAGATATCAAATCATAAAATGTCAGAACTGTCAACAATATCAATTATTATCTGATGTTCATGCTAAAAAGTAATGTGTGAAACTGACTGTAATCTGACCAATCAGAAGTCTACAGAATTGCCAACTTAAATTCAAATCGCTCCTCTTAGTTTAAAAACAGAGTATAGTCATGGTTGACTTCTTCAAATTCAACAGGGATCTCCATTGGGATATCTTGTATAACAGGATCTTTACAGACAACAGATGTCTGGTTTATTATCTTTTTTATGGGTTCGTATACTTGTGGATTTAAACATCTACAAAACCCTCTCTTGCAGAAACAGCTAAATTTACGGTAGTGTAAAATACCAGTATCTTCCGAAAAAACTTGATGCAGTTGCATGGTACCGGGCAGCAGCAAAATATGTTTTGGAATATGTTCTGCCGCTCGATCAATATCGTCGTCGTTTATAAAATAGAGCTTAACTTTGCTAGAATCCTTTAAAGCTTCAAAGAATTGTAATGCATCTGAAATATCCTTGCCTGTAGCTACGATCTGATCTGCGGTTCGTTTGAGAAAACCACCTACACCGTCCGCCGCTCCCTTCCCATGTGCTGCCTCAAAAAAATTCCACGTTACACGTTTAAACTTATATCTTATAAAAATTTTTGAACATATAGGTAGAAAGTTTTGCCTTTGTCTGTACTGTGTAGCGGGTCCATCTGAAAAGAAATGGATAGTGCTGGTAAATTCATCTAAATATGGAGTAGAATGGGATGTAAATGTGCCCAAATTGCTGGTGGTGTATGCGAATTGTTTGCCGACACAGAACAAAATGAAGTAACGATTTTTGATTCGTTTTCTTGGTGGTACATTACCCCTGTATGTAATGATACTTGCTTCCTTGAACCACCAACGCGGTGTGACTGCACCTCTTCGAAATGCTTACAACTACGAGTATAGTTCTCGCTGAAGTCGATATGCAATGCTACTTCATCATTTTCTAGACCGTCAATGCAAGCCCTGTCACATTTGTATTGGATTTTCTTGTTGTAAATGTGGTGTTTCAATTGTTTGAGTGTATTTTCGAAAATAATGATCAGTTCTTCTACAGATTTTTATACTAACTCTTTAACATTCTTAAATACTTTCACTTGTTCACCAGATTTTTCAAATATCTCCGATTTTCTTACCCACTGCGAAAATCGGATAGAATCACTTTTTTTTCGTTTCATCAATAATATACTTCATTTTCTTTGATTTACATTTTAGACATAATTGTCATGCAATCAACCGAGTACGAAGAACAAACTGTTTCTTCTACTACAGTACCCATATTGTGCATTTTAATTATTTTTAAAAAAACCGACTTCAAAAACGTGCAGATGCCACATCTTAACCAAATTTATATGGGACCACCCCTGAGGTACCCCCTTACTAACAAAAAAAGAATCGTATAAATCGGACAAGGTGGTAAAGCATTATCGCTAAACATACATAAAAAATGAAGAGTTTGAGGATTTTCTCATGGATCCAATTATTAGATTTTGACAAAATTTATATGGGACCACCCCTACAGTAGCCCCTTTCTAACAAAAAAAGAATTATTGAAATCGGACACCGTGTTAAAAAATTATCGCTGAACATACATAAAAAATGAAGAGTTTGAGGATTTTCTCATGGACCCAATTATTAGATATTGACTAAATTTATATGGGACCACCCCTGAAATACCCCCTTTCTACCAAAAAAAGAATCATTGAAATCGGACACCGTGTTAAAAAATTATCGCTGAACATACATAAAAAATGAAGAGTTTGAGGATTTTCTCATGGACCCAATTATTAGATTTTGACTAAATTTATATGGGACCACCCCTGAAATACCCCCTTTCTAACAGAAAAAGAATCATTGAAATCGGACACCGTGTTAAAGAATAATCGCTGAACATACATTAAAAAAAAAAAAAAAAATCGCGACGAATTGAAGTCGGTTAAAAAAGGCCTACGTTTAGCAAAATAGCTGTAAGAACATTTTAGCATATTATTCTCTTTTTTAAAAGATTCATAAAGATGTTTCATGGAATCTAATAGATATCGCTTTTGCATTTTTTGCTTTTTCCACGTGACAGTCTCCTTTTTGCCAGCTGTAGCTCGTGAAACATCATCACGTTTAAAGAAAGCTTGAATCACTAGAACCAGGTTGGACTTTTTCTTTATTACTCTTCTTCGTCTTATATACCCTTGCTGAATTCCTAAGCTTTCTTTTAATATTAGCGACTGATGCCTAGACTTCTTTACTTTCTCTTCATTGAATATGTCCTGGATGTATCGTTTTGCTGAATAATTTTTAATTTTTGAGTAGTGGATTTTGATTGCACTTGACAAAACCTTACACTTATCATTATTATTATTATCATCTGACTGTCTCTTTTTAGTTCTTTGGTATCTCTTTTTGTACTTCAGATACTGCCTCCTAATTTTTTCAATTTCTGTAAGCAACTTCTGGTTTTCTCTAAATAATTTTGTCCCATCGGGCCTAACCTTTCTTCGTCCCAAAACATGTGCGCGCATTGCAGGACTTAAATTTCGTGGTGTTCCAACAGGAGACGCTGGTGGTGTATCAATTGCCATTAGTCGCTGAACTGCTTTTTGTTGCTCCCTTCTTTTTTTATTAGCCTTTTTTAATTTTTTCTTTGCGCTTCTATGTTCCCTTGGTGTCATATCTTTGACCAACTTCTTTTTCGTAAGATACATTATAAGGGCTTTCTCTCTTGTTTCTGCTTCTTTTACAGGATTTTGCTTCTTTCTCTCCCTGTATTGCCTTTGTTTTTCAGCTGGTGTTAGAGGCATATTGCTGTATTGTTTATCTAAATAAAAATTAAAATATATACATCAGTTTGATTATTTTTAACAGGGATTTTACCACTCTGTTACTTTCTTGCGGTAACATAGTATAGCAGTAACAGAGTTATAAAATACATGTATCTACTGAAATTCTGCCTAAATTAAACACATGGACCCCATAAAAAGTTGCATGCGCCATAATGTACCATTAATCCTATTATTACAACAAAAAATAAGTACTTACCGAGAAAAGTTGATAACAGAGATATTCCGTCAAAAACACACGCACATAGTTTGCTGATACAAGATGTACTAGTCACATTTCGCCGCACCTTGTGATAGCGTGCGCGGGAAGGCTTTTGATTAGTTAACACTGGGGCAACTCCATATTATATATAGCGGCATCTAGCAATGTTTGTATAATTTTGATACATGGTAACATAGTGGAGTTGCAAATCAATAAAAAGAAAGGGACATGTCTAAATTATTTAATAATTAATATTATTAATTTTAATTTTAAAAATAAACATAACTTAAATCTATAACTTATAGTCTCTGTATATATGCTGAATAAATTTTAAATATCCCCCTAAATTACGTTAAATAGCGGCCTAAACAACACACTGTCTTCTAAGGGACAAGGTATTATTTACCTGTATATCAACTCTGTTACCAAAAATAACCACTTTGTTACCAACTTTTTCGTTTTATTAAACTTAAATAACAGAATATCAGTTAAATTTCTTAAAGTTGCTTTATTTATGTCTATTTTTATCTAAATTTTATATTAAAAATGAATTTCTGATTCTATTATTTTGCAGGGACCAGTTTACCTGCACGCAAAATTAGAATGGCCCATTTAACTGAGGATCAAAAATCGAGGGCCATAGCAAAATTATGTGAAAATTGCATTGACAAGCAGAGAGGAAAAATAGGGGAATCAATACAAATGGACAAACGTATAAGGATGAACCCAACAACCACAGAAAACTAAAGTGGTACAGAACAACACGGATTAAGTGCATTGTTAATTCCATAAAAAGATACATAACATAATGTTAAGTAGATTACAAATTTCGGACAATCGAATCAACGCCCTTTTATTATATGTCACATTTCACACCCCTCTACATAGCCTAAGCATTCCGATTCTGATTTACTCAGCGATTTTAAGTATTCAGCAATTAATTTTCCATAATTAGAAGATAAATTTCGCAAATTAAACAATTTTCCAGGAATGCGATACTACGGAAGACTCCCAAAATGAAATGACAAATTTTCCTTTACAGTTATAGGGCACGCAGTAAATTTTATTTGAAGTTGACATATTTTCAATTTAAGCATATTAACGGCGATTGTAGGGTAATTTTCGACTACCGTTATACGTATTTAATTTTCATTTGATATTTACAAGTAAGCATAATTAGAATTTAAGAAGAAGACGTCTGATTTTCGAAAGATTTAGGACTTCTATTGTATATTAATGACCTTTAATATATAAATGGAACGAAAAATATTCAGAGCACTCTAGTAACAATATTCTATATACCGGGTGTCCACGTGAAAACTTTAAATTATTGTAGCTGCTGTTTTAGAAGATATACTTGAAATTTAACCAACGTATTGTCCTGTACAGCTTCTGGCATGATACTATCCTCATATGGATGAAGGAATAGCTCTTAGTCACCAACTTTGTTCAGTCAGTCTATTCTTAAAATCCGATTGGAAGCCATGTAAGTTCATTACGTTTATTCCTAGTATATCTTCTTTAATATAATCGACAATAACAGTATTAATGAACGAACCTGGATTTTTCCATGGATGTTGGGACTTTCACCTGTAGCGTTTGTAAGAACTGCGTACTTGTACCAGTTCATCGCTCGTTTATCGTTCATCATAGAGTAAGGCTTTTTGTAACGTGCATATTTGACAGGGCGAAATACTGATATAAGCTTTTGAAGCTATTATTTTATTGAAAACCAGCTGTATGTATTGGTAACTTGCCGATGTCATTTTTATTATTTAATTCATCTTATCAATAGGCAGGAGTATAGCAATTTATTAATAGTACCTAAGTTGTACAATAATTGACTAGTAATCCTTCCTAATTGTAGTTTTGACCCAACCTGGCTTGATACAATTATATAAATTCTCCTTAAAAAATTATTGTATCGTTACGAGTTTATTTGTATGTTTTGTTTCTTATCTTGAGAGAATTAATAATTAACGAGCCAATTTCAACGAGTTCGTTTACTTCTTATTTTAATTAATACATCAATAATATTGTTAAAAGCCGATATAATAAATTTCAAGGTTTTGTTTTGACAGCTCGAGAACGAGTTGACGCACAGTCAGCTCACAGAATGTCAAAACCTTCACAATTAGGCATTCCAACGACCTGTCCAAATGGCTACCAGTAGGTAATGACAGTTTAGATATGGCAACCCTGTTGTCATGTTATCATTAACAGGGTCAATGATACATATATAGTTATATAGATTGCTCAAAGCTGGTCGTTTACGAGCGGCCATATTGCCTGGCAAATATTTATTAATTTGAATCGGTTTAGCAAAAATGTGTTTTAAAACCAATTTTTAGCCTTTAGATATTTAAAAAAAAATAATTGCTTACATTTTTACTTCAAGGCATAAGCTTATGTTTATTTTGAAAAATATGGATGATCAATCTATGTAACTATCTATTTCATTGACCTTGTCAAATCACCATGCCTACAGGGTTGCCATAATTTTGCCATACCATAACCCGTCAAAACCCACTGGTAGCCATTCAGTTTGGAATGCCTAATTAGGCATTCCAACGACCTGTCAAACAATACCTGCCAGTGGGAAGGTCTCGTATATCTAAGGGGGTAGCGACATAGTCTTGCATCTTGGACGCTATTTTTATTCGAAATATCAGTCGCCAATCCTGCCAGTTTTTAAAAAAATGTACAAGCAGTTTTTTTAATTAATATTTTTATAGTGTTCGATATAAAATATTTAAATGTAATCCATGATTTTACGTATTGTAGATAGAATACATCGTATGTCGCAACCGTCAGATCTACCAAACCTGCCCACTGGCAATTCATTTGTTTGGAATAGGTGATTTGACGTTTCATGCTCTGCGCAGGAGATGCGATTCGCGGTAGGAGAGGCGCGTTCGTTTTTATAGGTGGTTTTGTGATGTATGAGGAGATTTTTGTAAGGAGATCAATTATTTGAATTGTTTTATTGTACCTAGCTATAATTTTGTAGATTTCTTGGTATTATGTTTGGTTAGTTTCTCGTAAATTATTAATAAGACGTATTAGTAAATGATTGATGCTTTAAGAACTATTTTCTGAACCCACTTGGCCTGGTCATATCTGGTCTGTAGGCTGGACATTGTGGCCAGTTTCGAGGTTAGATTGCCTTTTTGACAATTGAAACGAAATTAGCATATTTTTAAGTGCCTTCGAGGGGAAAATCTTCATTTTATGTAACCATCGAGTTTTGCCGAAGAAGCTAGCCGCGAGTCTATTTGTAAATTCTCGTTCTCGCGGCAGTTACGCAATTATGTTTCCGGTCACGTCTTAGATGGGTAACCACTTGACCAACTAGTGCTTAACCATCAAGAACCTGGAATGAATGTTGATGATAAATGAATGTATGATGAATAGAAAGGAGTAGGGTATCCAAATGGTGGTGCAATGAGCCATTTATGCTTCAGTACCACCAGAGGGATGAATGAAAGGGTGAAAAAACTATCGAGTTTTCACATGTATTAGGTTTTTTAATTTTTCCCCATATATAATTTGTGACAGTAAGAGTTTAGATATTTTTGGGGAAATTTAAGTATTTGAAGATACATTTTCCATTGTGTAGTGATAACCCATTTCACGTCCGTTTAAGGGGTTTTTGTCGACATCTGCATTAGAGTTTTTTATTACTGAAGTGGATGCTCCTGTACTGTCGCTTTTTTTCAACCTTGAAAAGTTACCAGTTGAACCCTTTGCAAGAAAGGGTTCACTCGAAAGTTTCACCCGAAAGATTCACCTCCAGGATTTCACCCAGTTAATATCTTAAACAATTGGTCGAATTTATTTTCCTCTTTTATATTCCTTATTTTAGTGAATCCACCAGAAACCTGAGTAGCCGTTTATAATGAAGACCAGCGGACAAGACATCGACCAATGTTTTGTGACGGGCTAAACAGAATGTTTCTTGCATTTTATGGTTACGGAATCGATCAGCTGATAAGTAGACAAATCCTACCAACCTTGGTCTCTTCCGCAGGTATCGACTGAAGAACATTTAATGCATCTCCTCGAAGGGCGATTGTCAGCCTATTCTCTTTCACATCATTCGTTCGCCCTACCAGCTGTTTTGAACTGTTTTAGGTCGAAAGTTAGGGCTTTAACACGAGCAGAATTTCCAATTTTTTCAAACTTCGGCTTTGACTCCATCTTATTGTACCGTCTTCACCTTCCTTTTCTGTTTCTGTATTTTCTACAACTTGCCTTTATCTTTTCTCTATTTCTTCTATGTTCCGTTTCATTCTTTTATTTTCTCCTCCATAGAAAAAATATTAGCAGAAATTTCATTTTTTTATAAAAAATATTGAAAAAGTCACCTTTTTTCTAAAGAAGAAATATCAGAATAACCTTCATTTTCCAAAGAAGAAATATCAGAATAACCTTTGTTTTCCAATGAAAAGATATCAGAAAAAAAGGAAGTAATTATAGCAGAATACACATCATCCGAAAATAGAAAAGTTTTCGTATCCAAACCCTCACTTTCTATTTCTTATTTAAGTCGCTCAGCTAACTATGATTTCTTTCCTATTGTTCCAGTTTACAATCTTCTAGTTCCCGATGCAACTCCGTTACTTTTAATCCATTCAGTTTAAATTTCAGATTACAATCTTATATTCAAACATAATTTTGTGTAGACCGCCCCTGTTCAAGTCATTTGTGTTAAAATCACACACTTAATAAATGCACATTATTTATTATTCAAATAACTCATT